TGTTGGCAGGAGGAGATGATTCTAAAAGTGGGGTTGGGGTTTCTTTTGTCTCACCCTCTCTTGTCAGTACTGGTGGTGTAATGGCTGTGCTTGCGGAGGGTATCATTTCATATAATCCCTCCAGTGCTAAAGAAACTTTTGTTTATCATTCCGATATTGTTGCGGGGTACGTCAACCCTGCGGAGTCGTGGCCGTCTCTTGTCGCTGAGATCAATGACGGTACATGGAGGGCACACACCGTGTTAAGTACAGTGAATGAAGAGAGACGTGTGGGTATTGCGCGCCTTCCCACAACCATTGCAAAGGGCAATAAGCTGTTTCTTCTTGTGGGAAGCTACATTATGATGCAAGACACTAAGGATGATTTTTGGAAGCTTGGTGGCACGGATATTCAACTGGTTCAGGGGGAGGCCACAAATTCTGCGGAGGGCAAGCAGAGTAAATCGATCAAATGGGGCGAACCCAAATCGTTGCTGGGACAGATTGCTCCACAGGCTCAAGGTGACTCGAAAGTGCTTTGGGCCGGCGGTGGTGGCTCCGGCGTTCTGATGGAGGATGGCACTCTTGTGTTTTCTCTGCAAAAGCGGAAAGAAAATGGGGAATTTCTTTCCATGATCATTTATTCGACAGACGATGGAAGTAGCTGGGCACTCTCAAAGGGCATGCTTCCTGCGGGTTGTCGTGGCTCCTGCATCACCGAATGGGAGAGAGGACAAATTCTTATGATTGCGGATTGTGATAATGGCCAGAGGGTGTACGAGTCGCGTGACATGGGGGAAACGTGGACGGTGTCTTTCAGAACACTCTTGGGCGTGTGGGTTAATTCAGAATCAGCGTTCTTTTGGGACAAAAGTTTGCGTGCGGGAGCCCTCATCACCGCGACCATTGAGGGAAGGAAGGTCATGCTGTACACTCAGAAAAGGTACCCCACGGAGGAGCAAAAGGACAAGGCGCTCTATCTTTGGGTCACGGACAACAACCGCACGTTTCATCTTGGACCGGTTGCTATGGACAGTGCTGAGAATAAGACGTTTGACAACGCTCTGCTGTACTCGGATGGTGAGCTTTATCTTTCACAACAGAGGGCCAATGAAAAAGACAGTGTGATTTCACTTTCCCGCCTAACGGAGGAGCTGAGTACAATCAATTCCGTCCTCAGTACTTGGGTACAGTCGGACGACTCCTTCTCCGACTCATCCACGCCCACGGTTGGTCTGGTTGGATTTTTGTCCGACGCGGCCAGTGGTGACACGTGGATCGACAAGTACCGCTGCGTGAATGCAACGGTGACGAGTGCAGCGAAGGTCCACAATGGGTTCAAATTCACGGGGCCTGGCTCAGGGGCAATATGGCCTGTGAACAGCCGGGAGGATAATAATCAGTACGGCTTTGTGGATTACAACTTCGCTATTGTGGCGACGGTGGCCATCCACCAGGTTCCGAAGGAGAGCACTTCTCTGCTGGGTGCGAGTCTGGTGGAAGGTCATCCCACGAAGATCATTGGGCTGTCGTACGGCGCGGGCAGGAAGTGGGAGACAGTGTTTTACGGCAAAACAACAGCACAGGACAGCGCTTGGGAGCCGGGGAGAGAATACCAGGTGGCGCTGATGCTTCAGGGCGGCAACAAGGGCTCCGTGTACGTGGATGGCAAGCTCGTGGGGAGCTCGGAGACGATACCAACACTTGAGACGACGGTGCTTGAAATCTCACACTTTTACATTGGGGGAGACGAGGGAGGCAGCGGCAGCGATCTGACGGTGAAGAACGTCTTTCTGTACAACCGCCCACTGAGTGCTGATGAACTAAAAATGGTGACGAAGAGAGAGGACTCCGTGCGTGGGGGCGTGTCTCGGGTGCTCCCGCTGCTTCTGCTGGGGCTGTGCGGCATTGCGGCCCTTTACTGAGAAATCGCAGTGAGGAGTTCCTGCCACCAGCGGGAACAATACGCGCCTTTCTACGCACCATCTGAAATAATAATTGTCTTTTTTGTGTGGATGCACCGTTCATTTTATATATTTTTATTTTTGGTTTGAAAACCCCCGTTTTTTCCATGTAAGTCTTTAAGAAGGGTGTGCTTTCCCTCCGGGGACTGCACCGCGGGGTCTTTTTTTTTTTTTTTTGTGTATGTTGCAATTTTTTGAGAACGGCGGGATGTCTTTAATGTTTCCGTCGGCCGATGAAACGCCCAGTCGGTATTGAGCGCCACGACGATGGCGCAGCGAAAAAAGGGTGAGGTGAGATGTACAACAACGCATGGAGTGCCCCAATGAAATGTAACTGTTGTGTGGACACCAAGGGGGTCTGAACGGTCGAAGCAAATATATATATATATTTATATATTTATATATTTCTACAGGAAGAAAATATAAGCAGTTTTCTTTTTTCTTTTTTTGACGCGTCACGATGTTTTTTTTTTTTTTTTTTATGGGCGTGAAAACCTCTTTAGGGTAATTTTTTGTTGTTTTATTTTTTGTTTTTTCAAGCGTATTGTGGGTTGCCGCTGGTTGGGCTGCCGTGCCATCTCGAGCCTTAGTGGCCTTCGCCTTCTCTCTTCGTCCGTCCTACACCTCTGCTGCGCTTTTGTGTGCCTCTTTACGTGCGCGGTTCCTTTTTTTTTTCTTTGCGCGTCTGCAGGCATGCATATGCACACACACAAATAACCGCACGGCGTACATGTTGCGGTGCAGTTGGACGTTCCGCTTAAACTCGGTGCTGGCTGCTGCGTGTGGTTTTTGCTTCACTCAGTGGAAATGAAGAGAAGGAAGTGGGAGACGGTGAGAGTGCGCCGTGGCTCTCATCCCCTGTGGAAATGCTGCACGGCGTGCGGCGGTATTGTTTTGAGGCGCTGCACCAACACGCACGAGGACGTGGCACGGAGTGTCAGATCTCTTTTTGTGTCTGCTGCTGTGGGTGTGGGCGCGGCCGCGTCGGACTTGTCGGCACGATGGCCGCAGCGTGTGGCTTTCACTTTGTTCTCTCAGGAAATATTCAGCGACGCTTTCACTTGTGCATTTTTTTGGGGACAATGTGCTGGCGGCTGTGCGATTGCCGAATGGAGGGAGAGGAGCGGAGGGAAGTACGTGAGCGCCGCGGTCAGGAGTCGCGCTGGGTGTCTCGCCGCGGAGGGCACTGCCCACCCAACCCAGCACCGCTCCTGTCGGGCACCCTCTCACTGTGCAGCATCGTAGTCGACGCCAGCAGCACGCAGCAAGGCAGCGGATGCCGCCACCACCACGAGTGCGACCTGAAGGGACACGCCTGATGTTGCGTTTCGAGGGGGCACACCGTGTGGCACAGTGGCGTGCCCAAAACCTCCTCGCGGAGTCTGCACACGACACCGGGCACTGGCCGCGGAGTGTTTACGTCGTGGAAGACACCGCGGTGGAGTGCTTTCTCATTCCATAAGGACGGACGCCTGATTTTCCCTTCGTTTCCATCTAGGCGGGTTGCTGCGCGATGACGCCACAACGAGGCAGCTGTTTTCACCATGGAGGGGTGATGTCTGCAGGGTTACGCATTGGGAATATGAATGACGAATGCAATATTGAAGGCAGCCTCATGGTTCTTTTGTGCTGTGCGAATTGCAGAAATTTTCTATATATATACATATATATGCCTTGTGTGGGAGTTTTTCATGATGCATTGCTGCTGTGGCATGTATGATTTGTGGTACGTGCGTGTGGCCGTCGCTGCACCGAATTCTCTTCCCACTTTTTCGTATTAGGGGCTATGCCTACATGTATTTCTGCCGAGTGTTTGCGGTAAGCGCGATGCCACACGGGCGCGGGGACCGTAGCGAGCGGAATGCGTGGGCGAACCCTCCGCGCCTATCACGGTGTTGTTGGTTTTGTTGTTAGCTTTTTCCAACACTGTGCTGGGTGAATGGCAGCCACTCGTCGTCGTTCCGGTGGCCCTCGTGCATGTGGTGTGCATCGCACACTGTGCCGTCACACTGTGTGGATGACTCTATTGTTTTGGCTGCCCGTCGGGACTATGCCTGTTGTTCCCGTCTCTCTCATTTTCCTCCTTTGATTGGTGGTCAGTGTTCAGCTTTAGCTTGAGCCAACTGCGGGGACAAGGGGAAACAATGCGTGGAAAGCGCAAGAGAGTGCACGGCGATCATGAGGAGGGCCCTGCGTCCACTGTGCCGCGGGGAGATGGTCGAAGGGGAGCGAGGCCAGAGACCCACAGAGACACAGATCAACCCGCTACGACTCGCAGAAGGGCGAATGAGGTGCGGCGATTAATGTGGGCTATTTACAGTCTGGTGGAAGGGTAATTGTTGCAGGGATTGTCGGAGTCTGTGTAGAATGCGAGGTGGCATCATGTTGTGGGGGTTCCTGGCGGCGAGTGGACGGGAATGGATGTGAGGGAAAGGAGAAACACCGCAGTCATGGACGTACAAGGCAGTTGGCGAGTCCCTCGAAAGGGATGACGGTGTGGAGCAATCCGGTGCACCGCGTCCCAGACTGATGGTGCTCGCCTCGGACAAGGAATGGCCGTACTCGTGGAAATGGAAGGAGAACAAATCCACTCGTGACTGCTACGTGAACTGTGAGGTGGAGCGAGTGTGGCGGATCGTCAAGGGCGATATAACCGAATTGGTTCAGCACTGACGGTGAGCCCTACTTTACGCCTGGGCGGCGTGTGTTGATTGGGACGCCCGGGATCGGGAATTCGATGGCTGCCGGATCGTACCTCCCCTACCAGCTGCTGCACGGCGATGCGGAGCGGATCCCTGCGGTTGCGTGCTTTATTTGTAATTGAGCATTCCTGTTTGACAAGACAACCCAAACGGTGCGAGAATAGGTGGGTACTACAAAATCTAAGAGAGTCTTCTTTTTTTTTTGGCAGCTGTGAGACTCTGCGACAGCGTCCTTGCCGTGCGTGTGGCATCTTTTACCGTTGCTCCCTCGTTGTTTTGGTAAGGGAGGAGGCAAGCGGCTGCGTCGGTGGAGTTGCGCTCCAGTGGGAGAGGGAAGGCACCGACCGCTGACGACGACGGTCTTTGCTGCAGGCGATCTGACGGGACGACGTCACCGGTGTCACAGTCAACCGAGATGGATGAGGGCCGCACTGCGTCTCTGTCCCTTCTCTTCGTCCTCTCAGTCCACTGCAGTCACAACCGCCGCGCGGCATCTGCACGACTACCATCCGGATGTCTGTGAGCCACTCGGAATGTACAATCGGTGTGGAGCCTTTTCCCCGTGACCAAGTGCTGCCGTCTTGCTTTTTTGTTTCCTTCTTTGTGCAATGCCGTGTGCTCATGGTGCCGCTGCCTGCTGTGCAATGCCGACTTGCGTGGACTAAAAACGACGCTTTGATTGCTGGGGACCGGCGAGCTTTCCACTCCACTTCCGCACCACCAACGCCAACGCCTTTCGGACGCGCTTGATGGCTGGCGGTTGTATCGCTGCCACGTGGGTACGTCTCGGTTTTTGTTTTTTGTTCACGGCATCGGGATTGCCCTGTGATGGAGCCATTCGGCAAAAGGAGCGGTGCCAGTGGTCATGTTTCTTTTTTCCGGGATTCCGCCACTCGGCACGGTGGCTGTGTGAGGTTGTGTGGGCGATGGTTTCACTGAAGTGATTGCATCTCCACGGCTTTGCTTCGGTGGTTTTACTGTGATGGGGACTGTCTGTGACCGGATGCCTCTGCGTGCCCCTGTGCTTATTTGCTGTTGTTGCTGCCTTTTCCTTTTCTGACTGTGCAATTAGGGATACTTTGGTTTGAACAGCACAACTATCGTTTCAAGGTATTAGGAATTACTTGCAGTATTAGTAGTATTAGTATTATTTGAATAACGATCTGGCGGAATTGTGTTTCTGGATTTTCCATCTGTAGAAAAGGATTTGCTAGGCAGGAGTTACGGTCGACGGGGCGAGTGCGACACACCACGAGAGCCCTGTTGATACCTGATTGGATCTGTGGATGCGGTCTGCGGTGGGTGCGTGTCCGCACAGCCGTCACCGTGTGCGGCGCAGGGCCACTGCGGCTGTGCGTGTGGCGCTGCTCGTTTTGTTGGCGCTGGTTGCGGCGGCGGCGTGGATGCCCGCGGTGCAAGCGGTGGTGTTGCGACTGCGGGGCGGCACGGTGGACAGAGCCATCACGGTTGGCCACGCCGTGGACACGGTGCTGATGGACGGCGTGTTCATCACGAACGGCGTGGCTGTGGTGTTCGACGTTGCGGCGATGCTTCCCGGCACACTGCGCATCGAACTGAGGAACTGCGTATGCGACGGCGGTGCGCAGATCTACGTGCGGGGCTACAGCGACGAGCCGGCGAGTGACCGGAGCCTGGAGGTGAGTGTGAGCGGGCTGTCCGGGAGCTACTGCTCGCTCGTGTTTGTGCACAACCTGCCGGCACACACGAACGTGACGGTCCGTGACTCGACGATTGTGACGGCGGGGCCGATGCACTACTCGCAGCTGAGCGGGCTGACGGACGCGGTGGCGTCACCGCTTGTGCTGCACGCGACGTCGCTGTTGCAGACGCAGCTGCGTGTGAGCAACACCGTGCTGAGGTCGTTGCAGGTGGGCGGGTCTGCGGTGTACGTTGGCGGCGGCGTGGACCTGCTGTCGAGCGCAGTGGTGCTTGACGGCGTGTTGCTGGAGGCGTCGGGCGGTCCGACCGCGTCCGCGATGCATGTGGCGTCCTCGTCGCGTCTCAGTCTGCGGAGCCACTCGGTATTCTCTGTGACGAACGTGTCGGTAGTGAGCAGCGGCGGCGGCATTGTGCTTGGCGAGCGCCTCGCGGTGATTGATTCGGTGCTGCGCTTCGTGGGCGTTGAGGGGTCTGTTGCGTCGTCGCTGGTGCGCTGCGACGGTGGGACGGTGGATGCCGGCGGGTGGCTGGACCTGCACGACGTGTGGGCGGTGGGCGAGGCGTTGTCTGTGGCGTCGCTGTCGGGGGTGACGCTCAGCGGCGGTGCCGTTTCGATTGCACGCTGCGCTGCCACCGGCGCTACGATTGTCTCCGGGCTGACGATCACGAGCGGCGTCGTGTCGGTGCAGTGCAACCGTGCCGGTGGTCGGGTGCTGCAGAGCAGCGGCGACTACCGCATGGCCGGCCTGCCCTCCGTGAGCGTGTTGCCGTGCGACGGCTGTGCGGCTGCGCTGGCGTGCTTCGATGGACTGACGGCGTCCTTCTCCGAATGCGTGTGCGGCTGCCGTGCCGGCGGTGTGGGCGAGGCATGCCTGCCGTTCGACGTGCCGCTTGCGAGGGCCGGTGGCGGTGCGCAGGACTGCGTGAGTGGCGTGACGCTGACGGAGTCGGTGACGGTTGGCGGCGGGCGTGCGACGGCGTGCTTCGACTCGGTGGTGTTCGGCGGGCCGATCATTGTGGCGGTGGACCTGCGCTCGATGGACGCGTTTGCCGACGCGGTGAACGTGACGCTGCACCACTGCGTGCTTGCGGGCGGCGCGCAGCTGCGGATTGGCGGCCTCAGCGAGAGCACGGCGCACCTGATGCCCCACGCCCTCGTCAACATGACGAACTTGACGTCGCTGGAGGGCACGATCGTGCTGCATGGCGCGATGCCGCTGCACTCGAGTGTGCTGCTGGCGAACTCAACGCTGCGCGCGACGGTTGGCGGGTCGCGGTACGTGCCGATGACTCCTGGCCACGAGAAATCCCGGTACGGCCCCGCGCTTGTTCTGGACGGCGTCCGTCTTCTGTCGACGCGGTTTGTCATGACGCGGTCGACGCTGGTGTGTGGCGGGGGCTCGTGCGCTGCGATCCTCTTGGAGCGCGGCCTCGGCGTGCACCTGTCCAGCGTCTTCTACATGGACAACTGCGCTGTCATGTCGCGGACGCACGTGATGTATGCTTTTGCGTCGGACCTGCGTGTCAGCGGCGGCTCCGTGTTCTCCATACAGAACAGCTCTTGGATTGCGCCGAGCACCGAATACGAAGAAGGCGCGTGTGTGTTTGGGGATGTTTTTTTGGATGGCGGCAGCGTGCTGCAGGTTGTGTCCAGTAATTTCCGTCTTGGCTTCGCCATGCTCATTGCAGAAACGCTGACCGTAACTGGTGGCAGCTGGCTGGTGCACCGCAACAACGAGTTCCGCACCGCCTACGTTGTGTACGTGGCTAAATACGACGGCGTTGCGTTCCGCGATCGGAGTGTGTGGTCGATACTTGACAACAAACTCACGTACGCCTTGTACTCGTCCTTTACGCATATGACAAGCAACTGGCCACCACCATCCGACACGCGCCCGATCATCTACGGCGTGTGCAACGAGGTAATGGGCTCTCCTGTGACGGATTACCGAGAAGGTCTCAATATTGGAGCACCCGTGACGGCACTGGACTGTGGCGCGTGCACCGTGGACGCTGTGTGCTTCGCTCCGAGGACGAGCAGCATCAGCGGCTGTGAGTGTGAGTGCGCTGCTGGCGGCTACGGTGACACTTGTCTGCCAGCTGCTGTTCCGGACGGCCTTGGGCCGCTCCCGCTCCCCGACGCGAAGGACACGGAGGTCCGCTGCGTGCACGGTGGCAGCATCAGCTTTGTGGACTATCCTGATCCTGGTGTGCGTGGTCTGTGCTTCGTCAACGTGACCTTCACCGCTGCGATCGTGCTGGATCTGTGGAGCTTCGACGCACCACAACAGACACTCAACATCACGCTGCTGCAGTGCGTCCTCATGGGCCTGTCGATCAAGGGGAGTGGTGCACGCGTGCACGTGAGCGTGGTCTCCTCGATGCTGGATGCTTGTGAGTTGGAGTTCAGGGGCGATTTCGGTGCGAGCTCCCAGATACTGGTGGCGGGTAGTACGCTTGTGGCGACGTCGGACAACGCCATTTTGTTTGTGGAGTTTACTTTTAATGCGAATATGACCCTGCTGCTACTTGACAACTACATCGAGGCTAATAGGTACGCCATCTATTTCTTTATTAGTGTCGTTGTTGTTGATGGTGGCGGGATCATTGTGAAGGGGAATACGCTGAGCACAACGGAGGAGGACGACGGTGTGGAATCATCTGTTTGCATTAATGCTGTTGGTTTGAAGAACGGCGGCTACTTTGACGTCGAGAACAACACGATGAGGTCAGTCAATGGTGTTAATCTTCTTGGGGATACCACCGTGAGCTCCGCGGGGCTGCTGAGAGTGGCGGACTGCACCTTCGTTGGCGGGACGGAATTTTTTGATCCCGCGCTGGTGTATGTTTCTGGCTCAGTGACAGTCGAGGGTGGTGCGCACTGGCGTGTGGAGGGCAACAGCGTGGCTGCAGCCTCAGTATTGAGTATTCCGTACTCCTGGCAAAAACTTCAGCTGTCGGGCAGCGGCACCACCGTGGCGCTTGCACACAACCGTCAGGTGGACGATAGTTTTTTCGTTGCTGATCTTTCTCTGCCACAGACGATTTTGACGTCACACGCGCGGTTTGTGGTTGGGTGCAACCTGCAGGGCGATGAGGAGGTGTCGTACGAAGATGTGCTTCCGGAGGGCGTGGAGCTGTTCAGATGTGGCACATGCAACGATGACGCGGCGTGCTACATGCCCGGGACGGAGTCGGTGGACCGCGGCTCGTGCTCGTGCAGCTGCAAGGACGGATGGCATGGCGCGTCGTGTCTTCCCTTCGAGGTGCCCGACACGGTTGTGCCGCCCGTGGCGGAGAGAGCCGTCGACGGCGACACGAGCTGCGTGGTGAACCAGACGCTGTCGAGCCTCACGCTGAACATGTGGAGGACGCACCACTGCTACGCGGGTGTGACATTCAGTGGCGTGGGTGCTGCGTTGACATTTTCCTTCAACAGTATGCCGCTGCATCTCCCCATCAACATCACGCTTACTGGGTGCACGTTCCTTTACGGGGCTGTGCTGCAGTTTGTTGGAGATGTTGAGGCCGCCGAGTCATCCGGCGTCCTGATCCGCGTGAGCCAGACGGTGATGCGGTCCTCTGTTGTTGCATTTATTCTTGCTCTCCCGCAGCACTGCGAAATCGCCGTCACGGAGGTTGACGCAGTGCAGTCCTCCGCGGTCCATTTGCCGGACACAGTGAACAACAAGCTGAGCGTATTGTTCCTGAAGAACGTCGTGTTGACTGCGTCCTCGCTGTTGGTCAGCAACGTAAATGCGCATGCATCGAGGTATGATGCGTTTGGTTTGTACTCGATCGGGACGCTGACGCTGGTGGGTGGCAGCTCGCTGTATGTGCGGTACTGCAGCTTTGAGGGATACACACACGTGTTCTACGTGCACAGTCTCAGTGTCAGCGATCACTCTGTTTTTGCGCTGCTCAACAACACAATGGACTCCGGAACAAGCTTC